TTAATTTATTTTAAACCTTCCACTGATGGACATTTAGTGTTTTTTCCAGTCTCATGGCCATTACAAAAATGCTAGAGTGAATGAATGACCTTGTACTTAGGTGATTTTGTACATGGGCTAACATATATGTGGGCCAGACTTCTAATAGTGGAATTGTTTGGTCAGAAAGGTGTTTGCATTTGTAAGTTTGACTGCCTTCCCATAACAGGCGGTAACTTCTTTATATTCCTACATCCTTACCAACGTTAAAGTTTTTTACTTTAGAAAAACAGTATGTTTTTTAGCTTTTTGGTCATCGGCAACCTGATACATGAAAAAGGTATTTGACATTTCTTTTACAAGTGAACATTTTTTCATGCATTTAAGAGTCAATTTTGACGCCGAGCTCGGTGGCTCAACCTGTCATCCCACACCTTGGGAGGCTGAGGTGAGTGGATTGCCTGAGCCTGCGGGTTCGAGACCCGCCTGGGCAGCGAGACCTCATCTCTACACTAAATCAAAACATCAGCCGGGCATGGTAGCGCGTGCCTGTAATTCCGGCTACTCGGAAGGCTGAGGCGAAAGGATCGCCGAAGCCCAGCAGGCCGAGGCTGCGGTGACCGGGAGCGGCCCCTGCACTCCAGTCTGGGCGACAGAGTGAGACTCCAACTCAAAAAAAAAAAGAGTCAATTTTGCTTCCTTTTGTCTGAATTGTTACTTTTTTTTGCTGTTCAATTGTTGGTCTTATTGATCTGTGGGATATTTTCAAAATCAGCTTTTTGTGATATGAGTTATAAGTATTTTCTCTGTTTGTCATTTGCTTTTTGAGAATTTTGTCATGTAAAACTTTTCCTTTTGGTATAGCCAACATCTTTAGAAACTTTTTTTTAATTTACAGCTTATTTCCATTAAATGGCAAATATTTGAAGTGTGCAATTTTATGATTTTTTTTAGCATTTGTAGATGCTCATGAAGTCGTTGCCACAGTCTAGACACTGACTACTTCACCACCCAGTTTTCTTTCTGCCCCCACCTTTCTCCACCTCTGTCCCCAAGCAACCGTTTATCCGCTGTCTGTCTTTGGATGTTGGTTTGCACTTAGAATTCTATGTATGTGGAGCCATATAACATGTGCTCTTGTCTGAGTTCTTTTCTCAGCATAAGGATTTTGAGACTTGGCAATACTGCAGCCGTGCATCACTGGCTCTTCTTTTTTTCTTGCTCAATAGTATTGCGTTGGATGGAAGTATCAGAGTTTGCGTATCCATTCACCAGCTTGTGAACATTTAGGTTGTTTCCACTTTTGGCTATCACACATAAAGATACTAGAAGCATTTGTATACAAGTCGTTTCTCTTGAGAGAGTGGTTGGGATTCAGGTGTTGAGTCTTATGGTTGGTAGATTTTAACTTTCTAAGAAGCCGCCAAATTGTTTTCCAGAGTGCTTGTGCCATTTTATATTGCCACCGGTAGTATATGAAAATTTCAGTTGCTTCACATCCTCGCCAACACCTGCCAGTCATTTAATTTGAACCATTCTCAAATTTTATTTTTTGTGGTTTTATTCTGTATTTTGCTGATGACTAAAGATGCTAGGCATCTTTTTGTGTGCTTACTGACTGTTCATGTCGATTCTTTGGTGAAATGTTGGCACTATGATTTTGTCCATTTTCTAGTGACTTTTTCATCTTATTGAGTTATCAAGAGTTCTTCATGTATCTGGATATATATGTTCCTGCTATATATGTTTCAGATATTTTACTCCAGTTTGAGGCTAGCTTTTTTAAAGGTGTCTTTTAAACATCAAAAGTGTTATGTTTTATTGAAGAAGCGGTTTAGAGAGTGCTGTTATTTGTCTACTTGACAGTTTGGTGGGAGTAGGGGCAGTCGGGTCTGTGCTGTCCTGGCCCCGTGTATCTGTGTTTCATGGGTGCTTGATCAGCCCCTCCTTCCTGTGGCAGCCAAGCTCTGCCTTGTACCTTTGCTGGGTCTGATGCAGAAGGACATTTCCTATCCCTCCCCTAGTAGCAGGAGACCTCCCTTCCTCCAGCTGCAGGCATCTTCTCTGTGCCCTGAGATGACAGGGTTTGTGCCCCTCCCCTAGCAGCTTAGCTTTCTCTTCCATAGGGAGAAGCAACCAGGTGGGGCTTTGTGACTTCCCTACTCTTGGGCCTTTCTCTCTGTACCCTGGGCCTGCATTACCCACAGTCACGCTCTGTCTTTCCCATGGACAGCAGCAGAGGTAACTGGGACAGACCCTGTAGACAGATGTGCATTCTTGTGTCAGTGGCCTCTGGGGCTTCTGTTTCAGGTCCAGGTCTAGCCTTTTAGTGAAATCAAGTTTACAGCCTTTCCTGCTTGCCTGGTGCCTAGCATCTCGACCCTGTGCCCTGCCTCAACAAAGCCAGTGCTTTCCCTGTGTGCTTGGGTGGAGGGGCCTGGCCTTAGCTTCCAGGCTACTTGGTTTCCCATCTACTTAAGCTCTCTGATGGCTGTACCAAAAAAAGTTATGGTGCTGATGGTTATCTGCTTTCTTCTTACTGGTAAGGGTGGGAGTGATGCTCTTTCTGGCGTCCTACATTCTAGGTGCAAGCAGAACTTTGGCTGTCATTACTTGTTAATAATTATCTATCATTCTTGATGCAAGGCATGCTTCTGCCAAGTAGAGCTGTGTGCTTGTCCTCTGTACTCCCTGTGCTGATAAGGTCTTTTCTGTACTAAAAGAATGCTGGAAATATACTAGGATATGTTTGATTTGTATATTGTCACCAGCTGTGTGTCGAGTGGACTGAGAAGGGCTGTGGAGTCAGCTAGAGTTGGTTTCAGACCTAGTCCATCCACTTGTTACCTTATGGTCATGGTTATGTGCCTCTGAGTCTCAGCCTCCTTATTCATAAATTCAGAAAATTAACACCCATGTCAGAGATATGAGATTAAATGAGGTATGTAAAATATCTAGCTCAGTACCTGAAATATATAAGGCAGTCAGTAAATCACAACTTTTTTTACAAATGTAAAACTATTAAATAGTGTAGTATTACAGAATGCCATGAGTCATGCTGGGCACTCTTTGCCAGTTCCTTATGTGTTAGCATTTTTGTCACTAGGTTAGGGAAGGATCTGTGGTCATTACTAGATCCTTTTTGCTGACTTATCACATCCAAATTATATCACCGTTTTTCAAAGCTAGTGAGTTAATGGGCTTAGGCATTGAGTAGCACTAGCAGCAGTTATTAAAAAGTACTGAAAACCAGACATAACATGCATCCCCTTGAAAGAATACAACACGTACCTCTGGTCCTGACAAAAAGGGTGAGATTTGAGTCTGATCAAACCTTGAGATCTAGCTGCTAGTTTGCAGGAAATATAGAGGGTATAAAGGTACATGTTGAACTGTATTGCACTATAAGCTTGTGCTCAGCAAAATCTAGGCTGTGGGAAATTCTACAGGTCAAACAGTAAGACAGAGTGAGAGATACAGGGAGAATTCTGTAGATTAAAGACCAGAAAGATGTATCTAGTCAAAAATGGCCAACACCAAAGTATAACGTCTAGACACTGGGTGATACAAACACATACATGTGCAGGAAAGTGGTCCTTATGAAAGCAGGTATGGTGGCTACTTTTGGAGGGAAGGAGGGGATTCAGAGGGGAAGGGTCACAGAGAGGCTTCTGAGCAGGCGACTACTGCAGTGATGCTGAGCTGTTCCCAGTTCACCAAGCTATATGTGATTGTGCACTTTTCTATATGGGTGTTTTATTTATTTTACAGTAAAAAGGAAAGCTTGAGTTGTCTTTTTACACTTGTTTAGACAGAGGGTGCCAAAAAAATCACATTTTAAGAAAGGAAAAACCTATTTAAAATGTAATACTCATTATATACCAATAACAATAGATGAGTACAAGTCACGTTTGACTTCTGCTATCACAAGAGGTGCTTAAAATGGTTACCATCAGTGTCCAGACACTTCTGATTATGGAGAGCTACTGCTGGACCTGTTGCTGTGTGAGACCTCCTGGATCCTTCCTTGTACACATCACACACAGTACCATGCATCTCAGACGTCTCACTAATGCATGTAATTGTTAGGCATGTTGGAGGTTCTGTTGCATACACACGCCTCTATTGTACTTTCACAGTGTTCTCAAATTTCAAATACCACTTCAAAGTAGTCTTGTGCTCCTTCAATGACCAACGTGCTTCCTGCAGTTTTATTTGACTGCCCTGCTTATTGCATGTTGATGCTAGCATTTATTTGTTAATATTAACGCCACCTTTTGAGCAGATTTCTTTTTTTTTTTGAGCTGAAGTCTCACTCCTTCGCCCAGGCTGGAATGCAGTGGCATGCGTGCTCATGGTCACCCCAGCATCGACCTTCTGGGCTCCAGTGATCCTTTCACCTCAGCCTTCCTAGTAACCAGAACTACAGACATGTGCTACCGTGCCCACCTATTTTTTATTTTATTGTAGAGATGAGGTCTCACCAAGTTTCCTGGGCTGGTCTTGAACCCATGGGGTCAGGCAATCCACTCGCCTCGGCCTCCCAAAGTACTGGGATTACAGGCTGAGCCACCGAGCCCTGCCTTGAGCAAGTTTCATACTACACATGCTACCATTAATTCACCTTCAAAAAGCAATACATCGATAACATCTCTTAAAATGTGTATAATACTTTTTTTTTTGCACCCCCAGCATGTGTTGTAGATATGGGGCTGCAGCTGAGATACTGTTTCTAATCCTTATATTGTTTCCAGAGATTGGCACACATGGGTGTCTTGTGGGTAGTCCATCTGTTTTCTTATGGTGGTGATGTCCAGGAAGGTATAGGTTGTGTATTTCTACCAATATCTCCATAAGTTGTTTTTTTTTTAATTGTTACTAAATATTTGTTTAAGGAGATGAAACTTTCACTCAGCAATTTCTGTCACATGTTAATTCAGCAGAGAAAGCAAGCTGGATTTATTCTAGTGACTTTGAGGTTAACACATTTTACATGGTCTTTTTTTTTTTTTTCTATGTAGACGTAAAATTCATCCTGATCAGAAAAATATTAACGCTTATGTTGTGTTTAAGGACGAGAGTGCTGCTACAAAAGCATTGAAAAGGTAATTTTATCTCTGAGTTTTGAACAGAATTATAATATGAGTACATGTGGGTACAATTTTTTCTTTGGTTTTCCTTTAGAGTAAATATTTTAGTAATTCAGTCTTCATTTTTAACAGCCATTTTTCCTTTCTATATTCATAATACAGAAATGGGGCTGAAATTGCAGATGGATTTCGTATTAGAGTTGATCTTGCATCTGAGACCTCATCTGTAAGTAGTACCAGATTTCTTTAAAGAACTTAACTCAAGGGCCAGGTGCTGTGGCTCACATCTGTAATCCCAGCACTTTGGGAGGCTGAGATGGGAGGATCCCTTGACACCAGGAGTTCAAGATCAGCCTGGGTAACATAGACACAATTAAAACAAACAAACTGCTGGCTGCGGTGGCTCACACCTATAACCCCAGCACTTTGGGAGGGCGAGGTTAGAGGATTGCCTGAGCTCATGGGTTTGAGACCCGCCTGGGCAACTTGGTGAGACCTCATCTCTACAATAAAACAAAAAAATTAGCTGGGTGTGGTGGCACGTGCCTGTAATTCCAGCTACTTGGAAGGCTGAGAGGGAAGGATCATCTGCGCCCATCAGGTTGAGGCTGCAGTGGCCGTGAGTGTGCCACTGCACTCCAGCCTGGGTGACAGAGTGACTCCAACTCAAAAACAAACAAACAAACCCTAACTAGACCTTTGTAGAGAGAAATATTTCTGTTTGGGCTTTTGCTGGGAGAGGAGTAGAATCAGTGTGAGTGTGAGGGAAGCTTAGAAAGAAACAGACTTTATCTGTGGTCACAAGTTGGTGATAGGAGTGGCACAGAGACTTAGGTCAATATCAGTTTCAAAGACAGTCCTCTTCCATTTGCGTTATGTCCCCCACCCCACCATTAGATCAAATAATCATAGAGAGATAGGTTGGAAGGTATATTAGAGATCATCTGGTCTAACACCTTAGTTTATAGAATGAGATCTAGAAAGTTTCATTATTCATTAGACAGTTTTTTAGTATGTGCTCTGTCAGGCATACATTCCTAGATACAGTCTCAACTCTCCAGGCGCCAGTGGTATATAGTGGAGATCAGCAGAGGGACAAGTTGTGGCACTGTTGTATGATAATTACTGTCATAAGTTCACAAGATGCTTAGTCAGCTCAGCAATGGGGCACTTGGAAATGTGCCAGCAAGAAAGGACAAGGAAAGTTTCCACGGTAGGTTTCATATCAGTCTTGAAAGATGAGGAATTATCTAGGCAGAGTTTTTAAAAAAATACTGGGGTAGGCCGGGCACAGTGCCTCATGCCTATAATCTAGCACTTTGGGAGACTGTGTGAGAGGATTGCCTGAGCCCACTGGTTCGAGACTAGCCTGGGCAACTTAGTGAGACATCATCTCTACAATAAATCAAGAAAAATTAGCCGGGCATGATGGCACGCACCTGTAGTTCCAGCTCCTTGGAAGGCTGAGGCAGAAGGATCGCCTGAGGCCAGCAGGTTGATGCTGTGGTGGCTGTGAGTGTGCCACTGCCCTCCAACCTGGGTGACAGAGTGACTCTAACTCAAAAAAAAAAAAAAGACTAGGGTGAAATCTCGGCAGAAATAAATAGTATAAACAGTTGGGAACAAATTTAATTTCCTTAGGGAATGGCGAGGAGCTAGATATACTTATTAGCTGGGTAGGTGTGAGAAGCAGTAATTAGAGGTGCTATTGGACAAATAGGTAGAGACCAAATCATGAAAACCCGGTCCACTGTGCTTAATGCAGAGAAGTCTAGATTTCATTCAGGAACTGTTCTACAAGTTTAAATGCAGGAGTGATTTGACAATATTTGCATTTGACAGAGGTGTCTGGAAATGTATGGGGATGACTCCAAGAGTTCACCCCTACACATGTAGGACTTGTTTCTGTCTGTGTCAAAGCAACTTAGTTGAGAAATGACAGTGGCCTGGAGGAGGAGAGCCTGAGCTTGACTGGAGACCTAGCACAGGGCATCACACTACAACCTGAGGGCTTAATCCACCTGCTGCCTGTTTTTGGTAATAAAAGTTCTATTGGCACACAACTGCACCCATTCATTTGGGTGTCATCTGTGGGCTGTTCTCAAGCTGTAAGGGCAGGATTGAGTAGTCATAACAGATACTCCATGTCCTGTTCAGGAAGTCTGTGGACCCCACAGTATACCAAGGCTTTCCTCAGCACTACCATGTGCCAGTGCCTGCTTTGAACAAAAAGTCCCTCCCTCCTCAGTGCTCTCACAGTCCAGTGGGGAAGACGGAAGAAACAGAGAGTTAAATAAGGGACAGACGTGTGGTTAATCAGGAGGCAGGTGACCCATCAGGTATGGGGAGGATAAGAGGCAGTGGGGATCTTAGGATAAGGACTTACGGTTCAGTTCAACTGGTGATGTTTATTAACTCTGTTTGTGTTTCAGAGGGACAAGAGATCAGTGTTTGTGGGGAATCTCCCATACAGTAAGTTTATTTAAACAAAGTACAGACAACTTTATTAAACAAATAACAGGGAAATAAAAACTGAGTAGTAACTTAATGTTTTGCTTTAAGACTAGCTTTTAAAAGTGTGCAATAAGGCCAGGCTCGGTGGCTCAGCCTGGAATCCCAGCACTTTGGGAGGCCGTGGTGAGCGGATGGCCTGAGCCCGCGGGTTCGAGACCCGCCTGGGCCACTTGGCGAGACCTCATCTCTACAATAAATAAAAAATTAGCTGGGCGTAGTAGCGCGCGCCTGTATTTCCGGCTACTGGGAAGGCTGAGGTGGAAGGATTGCCGGAGCCCGGCAGGTCGAGGCTGCAGTGGCCAGGAGTGGCCACTGCACTCCAGTCTGGGTGATAGAGTGAGACTCCAACTCAAAAAAAACCAAAACAAAACAAAAAACAAAAAAAATATAAAAGTATGCAATGTCAGCCGGGCTCGGTGGCTCAGTCTGTAATCCCAGAGCTTTGGGAGGCTGAGGTGAGTGGATCGCCTGAGCCCGCGGGTTCAAGACCTGCCTGGGCAACTTGGTAAGACCTCATCTCTACCATAAATCAAAAAATTAGCTGGGTGTGGTAGTGCGTGCCTGTAGTTCCAGCTACTTGGAAGGCTGAGGCGGAAGGATCGCTGGAGCCCAGCAGGTTGAGGCTGCGGTAGCTGGGAGCGGCCACTGCACTCCAGTCTCGACAGTAGAGTGAGACTCCAACAACAAGAAAAAATAAAATAAAATAAAAAAATAAAAGTGTGCAATAAAATGTCTTACTCATCAAATATATCCTCTTTTCTAAGGAGATGCCAAATCTTTCATTTTTGTGGAATTTGTTTTTAGAAGTTGAAGAATCTGCTGTTGAGAAACACTTTTTGGACTGTGGAAGTGTTGTGGCAGTGCGGATTGTGAGAGATCAAGTTACAGGAGTCGGCAAAGGGTTTGGCTATGTGCTCTTTGAGGTATGGCAGAACAAAAATGCATTGTCACTGTTCTTTGAGATGTGCTGGGAGAGGTTAACACTGCTGTCATCATTCAGACATAACTCATTTTCATTCTCAAATTCTGTCTTAAGAAAACTAATTTTGCCAGGTGTACTTTGGGAGGTAGAGGCAAGAGGATTACCTGAGCCCATGGGTACAAGACCAGCCTGGGCAACATGGCGAGACCTTATCTCTACAATAAGTCAAAAAAATTAGGTGGGCGTGGTGGCGCATGCCTATAGTTCCAGCTACTTGGAAGACTGAAGTGAAAGAATCACCTGAACCCAGCAGGTAGAGGCTGTGGTGGCCGTGACCATGCCACTGCACTCCTGCTTGGGTGACAGAGTGAGACTCTCACTCAGAAAAAAAAACAAGCCTGAGCTCGCGGGTTCAAGACCAGCCTGAGCAACTTGGCGAGACCTCATCTCTACAATAAATCAAAAAATTAGCCAGGTGTGGTAGCGCGCCTGTAGGTTCCAGCTACTTGGAAGGCTGAGGTGGAAGGATCGCCGGAGCCCAGCAGGTCGAGGCTGCGGTGGCCGGGAGCAGCCACTGCACTCCAGTCTGGGTGACAGAGTGAGACTCCAACTCAAAAAAACCCCAAAACAAACAAACGAAAAACCAAACTAATTTCAGGCCAGGCGTGGTGGCTCACACCTGTAATCCCAGCACATTTCAAGGCTGAGGCAGGAGGATCACTTGAGCCTAGAAGTTCAAGACAGCCTAGGCAACATAGCGAGATATTGTCTCTTTAAAAAAAAAAAAAGCCGGGCTCGGTGGCTCAGTCTGTAATCCCACACCCTTGGGAGGCTGAGGTGAGTGGATTACCTGAGTCCAGGAGTTCAAGACCCGCCTGGGCAGTGAGACCTCATCTCTACAATAAATCAAAAATCAGCCGGGTGTGGTAGCGCGCCCCTGTAATTCCGGCTACTCGGAAGGCTGAGGTGGAAAGATCGCCAGAGCCCAGTGGGTTGAGGCTGCGGTGGCCGGGAGCGGCCACTGCACTCCAGTCTGGGTGACAAAGTGAGACTCCAACACAAAAAAAAAAACAAAAACAGCCTGGGCTTTGTGGCTTAGCCTATAATCCCAGCACATTGGGAGTCTGAGGCAAGGGGATTGGCTGAGCCCACGGGTTCGAGACCCACCTGGGCAACTTGACCAGACCTCGTCTCTACAATAAATAAAAAATGAGCCGGGTGTGGTATCTTGCGCCTGTAGTTCTGGCTATTTGGATGGCTGAGGTAGAAGGATCACAGGAGCCCAGCAGGTTGAGGCTGTGGTGGCCAGCAGCTTGCCACTGCCCTCCAGCCTGGGTGGCAGAGTGAGACTCCAACTCAAAAACAAACAAACAAACAAAAAACAAAACAAGAAAAACAACAACAGAAAACTGGTTTCATAACCTGCTATAATCAATGTGTTGCTATAATTGCACCTAACCAGAAGATGTCCTAATTCTCTCTCTCTTCACACTAATGTTAAGTAATGTTTTAGACTAAATCTTTACCTTTTATAAGATGGAACGAAAAAAATGATCATTCACTCAGATAGAAGAAAATTTTATTTTGTGTACAGAATTGGTTGTATTTAGCTCACTAGTTATTAACCAGTGTTTCACGCCTAACATTATTTAGTATTAAAAGATTATACAGTCATCCCTCAGTATCCATGGGGGATTGCATTCAGGACCCTGCTCAGATACCAAAATATGCAGATGCTCAGGTCCCTTACATAAAACATGCACACAACCTATGTACATCCTCCGGTATACTTTAAATCATCTCTAGATGACATATAATACCTAATATGTTGCAAATACAATATAGTTGTTATACTGGTATTATTTTTTTTCTGTTATATCATTATGTTTTTTAATTTTTTCCAAGCATTTTCCCTCTGCAGTTGATTGAATCCTCGGATGCTTACCTCTTGGATGTGGAGGGCCTACCATACCTACTATCTGATGGCCTTTAAATTTTACTGCCTGCAGCAATACATTTCTTTTCAGGTTTTTCCTGTGCTGCCTTTTTTTGTAGTTGAACTTCTGTCTGTGAACATGAAGTTTAACAACCTGCTTTATGTTTTTCTGTCGTGTAAGTGTGTTTCATTGAGTGATGTAACATAATTTGTACTGCCATTTCCAAATGTTGGATATTGGCAGAGTTTTTTTTTTGAGTTGGGCTTGAAACTACAGGCGCGCTACCACACCCAGCTAATTTTTTTAAAAAATTTATTGTAGAGATGAGGTCTCACCAAGTTGGGCGCAACAGAATTCAAATCCACTCATCTTAGCCTCCCAAAGTGCTGGCATGAAAGGCTGAGTCACCGAGCCCCGCCATGTTTCAATCTTTGAAATTGTGGAGTGGTTATCTTTTAGTCCTGAAAAGTTTGCTTGCATTTTGGATTACTTCTTTAGGATAGAACCCTGTTAGTAGAGTCCTGGCTCAAGGCATGTTAGCATTTTTTTTTTTAATCTGAATCAGAGTCTCACTCTGTCACCCAGGCTGGAGTGCAGTGGCATGCTCTCGGCCACCGCAACCTCAACCTGCTGTGCTCAGGCAATCTTTCCACCTCGGTCTTCCAAGAAGCTGGAACTACAGGCACGTGTGACCACACCCAGCTAATTTTATGATTTATTGTAGAGAAGAGGTCTCATCAAGTTGCCCAGGCTAGTCTCGAACCCCTGGACTCTGGCAGTCTTCTTGCCTCCACCTTCCAGAGTGCTGGGATTATAGGCGTGAGCCACTGCCCCTGGCCTATGTTACCATTTTTAAAGGTCTTGATGATTATTGTCAGCTAGCTTTTGTAGAATGCTTATTACAGCCTGTGTTGCTATTATTACTGTATTGTAGTTACCTTATTGTTTCTGTTGTCTTCTGATACTAGCTTATAAAGTCCTTTAACAAACATCTCATAGATGTTCTGAGCTGTTAGCATTAATAGTTTTATACTAGAGTAAAAGAATACTAGAATTTTAGATCTAAATGAAACCCTAGAAGGCATCTAGTCCAACATCTCAGGGGCTGTAATGGAGAATTCCCTGCTCTCAAGTCAACTAACACAGCAGGGCTTTGACAGAAAGATGGTTTATGAGAAGAAAGTTCATTGTTGTTGCTGGGCTCGGTGGCTCAGCCTGTAATCCCGCACCTTTGGGAGGCTGAGGTGAGTGGATTGCCTGAGCCCGCGGGTTCGAGACCCGCCTGGGCAGCAAGACCTCATCTCTACAATAAATTAAAAAAAAAAAAATCAGCCGGGCGTGGTAGCGCATGCTTGTAATTCCAGCTACTTGGAAGGCTGAGGTGGAAGGATCGCCGGAGCCCAGCAGGTCGAGGCTGCGGCACACCAGCAGCCTCCAACGCACTCCAGTCTGGGCAACAGTGTGAGACTCCAACTCAAAAAAAAAAAAAAAAAAAGTTCATTGTTGTAAAATATTTCATATGACTAGTCAGTCGAAATCTCATTTTACAGTGAAAAAAATGAAGCTATGGGATTGTGACTTAACTGAACACATGACAAGGCAAAATGCTTCTGGGGGAAAGGTACATGAGGACCATGACGTTAAGCAGGTAGCTGAATCACTTGGGACTGGACTCCCAGAAATGGGAGGGGCTTCTGTGTGCAAACATGAAAGTCATTCTAATCCGTTACAGTCGCTGTTTTACTAGTTTCTTTGCAGATGAGTTTCTGGTGGAAATTATACATATATATAATTTCTTATTGCAGAATACAGATGCTGTTTATCTTGCTCTGAAGTTAAATAATTCTGAACTAATGGGAAGGAAACTAAGAGTCATGCGTTCTATTAAAAAAGAAAAGTTAAAACTACAGAATTCAAATCCAGGTATGAAGAATGTCAGTAAACCTAAGCGGAAACTTAACTTTGCTTCCAAAAAGGAAAAAGGACATTCTAAAAGTTCATTTATTGGAGAAAAGGCTGTACTCATTAAAAAGAAGAAGAAAGGACATAAGAAACATGGACATATTAAGAAACAAATAAAACAGAAATAATGATCAGAAGCTGCTTTTATTTTCCCCACTGAATACTGCTAATAAAAGTGCTGTTATTTGCTAATATCTGTGTATTGAGTTTCACAATTTTTTTATGGATGGTATATGGAAAATGTGAAGACTTCCACATTCTTATTCATATTTTAATACTACATTTAAAGCATTTGTGTTAAGATAGATGTTGGGCAACGCTCTTTCAGGTCCTCTCCTGCTTAGGAGCCTTTTTGCATTATTAATAAACTCCTGCCGGGTGTGGTGGCTCACACTTATAATCCTAGCACTTTGGGAGGCCAAGGTGAGAAGATTTTGCCTGAGCCCATGGGTTCGAGACCAGCCTGAGCAACTTGGCGAGACCTCATCTCTACAATAAATAAAAAATTAGCCAGGTGTAGTTACACATGCCTGTAGTTCTAGCTACTTGGAAGGCTGAGGCGGAAGAATCACCTGAGCCCAGCAAGTCGAGGCTGCGGTGGCCGTGAGTGTACCTCTACCCTCTAGCCTGGACGACAGACTGAGACTCCAACTTGGGAAGAGAAAAAAAAAACTCCCTGAAAAAAAAGATGTAGGTAGATTAGTTATCAAGGATGATGTGTTACTACTGATTGCCTAAGAGGTTATTTTAGACCAATGGTGAACATTTAGAATTTGAATGGCTGTCATTTTACTGTATGTTAGAAATATGTAGTTAGCCGGGCTCGGTGGCTCAGCCTGTAATCCCGCGCCTTTGGGAGACTGAGGTGCGTGGATTGCCTGAGCCCGCGGGTTCGAGACCCGCCTGGGCAGCGAGACCTCATCTCTACAATAAATCAAAAAAATCAGCCGGGCGTGGTAGCGCATGCCTGTAATTCCGGCTACTGGGAAGGCTGAGGCGGAAGGATCGCCGGAGCCCAGCAGGTCGAGGCTGCGGTGGCCGGAAGCGGCCACTGCACTCCAGTCTGGGTGACAGAGTGAGACTCCAACTCAAAAAAAAAAAAAGAAATATGTACTTAATACTTCAATCATTTCAAGAATATTACTTGGGATGAGACTAAATTAAGAAGTAAGTAAATTTAAAGAAAAAACAATCACTATACCTTAATACTAACTGTACTTAGATCAAGTATCCTATTAAAGTGGGATTACTAGCCGGGCTCGGTGGCTCAGCCTGTAATCCTGCGCCTTTGGGAGGCTGAGGTGAGTGGATTGCCTGAGCCCGCGGGTTCGAGACCCGCCTGGGTAGCGAGACCTCATCTCTACAGTAATTAAAAAAATCAGCGTGGCGTGGTAGCGCATGCCTGTAATTCCAGCTACTTGGAAGGCTGAGGTGGAAGGATCGCCGGAGCCCAGCAGGTCGAGCCTGCGGTGACTGGGAGCCGACATTGCACTCCAGTCTGGGGAACAGAGTGAGATTCCAACTCCAAAAAAAAAAGATAGCTGCGCATGGTGGCGCACGCCTGTAGTTCCAGGTATTTGGAAGGTTGAGGCAGAAGGATTGCCTGAGCCCAGCAGGTCAGGCTGTGGTGGCCGTGAGTGTGCCACTGCACTCCAGTCTGGATAACAGAGTGAGACATTTAAAAAAGTATAAAGTTCAACAAAGAGAATGCCATTGCATTCCCTTGGGTCTTAACCTTGGAAGCTCGTGCTGCTCTCAGTTCTCACTAAGCTGGGTCTGTATCCAGGAGAGAGACTCAAGTGGGAGTAAACCAGGGTAGCTGATCTTGGGCAGGCATAATCTGCAGTGAACATACATCACTTAGATGGATAAAAACGTGGTGAAGGAGCAGGGAGAGTTTATTACTGATTGTTTTTGAAAATTCTGTCTTAGCCGGGCTCGGTGGCTCAGCCTGTAATCCCGCGCCTTTGGGAGGCTGAGGTGAGTGGATTGCCTGAGCCCGCGGGTTCGAGACCTGCCTGGGCAACTTGGTGAGACCTCATCTCTACAATAAAACAAAAAATCAGCCGGGCGTGGTAGCGCATGCCTGTAATTCTGGCTACTCGGAAGGCTGAGACGGAAGGATCGCCGGAACCCAGCAGGTCGAGGCTGCGGTGGCCCGGAGCGGCCACTGCACTCCAGTCTGGGTGACAGAGTAAGACTCCAAATCAAAAAAAAAGAAAATTCTGTCTTTTGAGGATAGCACAAGGAAAACCTATTGGGCATTAAAAATGCAGCCCTGTGGATAGCAGAGAAATAGCCATTTTCCTATGTCTAGGGACTGGATATTTTCTGCTCAGTATCCCTCAGTGCTTAGAATCTTGATTTTTGTAAGTAGGGTTCAGTTAATACTACCTGGATCATTCTTGATCATTTTTACATATATTTCCAGTTATATAAAGATGCAACATCTATAGCCTAGGTGATATGTGCATATATAGTCTGTGTGCATAGACTTCTATTGTGACTCATTAATGGTCAGCTTCTGAAAGCATAGGAGATAACAGGTTAAAAGTTTTACTTCACATTTATTACTGTAGAATTGAAATTTATTTTTTCTCTAAGTATAGTATATGTGTTACTCTAACAGTTTAAAATAATTTACCACAGGGAAAAAGTAATGTGTTACAGAAAAATTTCATCAGAAATATTTTGTCTAATTCTTTGTTACTTGGACAAATAATTGTATCGTTTTATTTGATTAAATATTCTCAGCCATTAGAACATATACTGGTAGTCAACAGCGGCTAAAATGTGACTTTTTCAATTATTGTAATAAAGACTTGGTGGTTTGGTTAATCATGTGCATTATTATTGTTTTTCTCACTCTGTTTTCTGCTAATGATCCTGGGCGTAAAATGTAAGGCTAAGGAACTCTTCGAATAAGACCAGAATGCTTTACATCATCTGTCTCATCCTACCGAACCAGTGGCTGGAATTGCCCCAAGAGCAGGAGCAAGGGAGTTCCCAGAAGGGAGTGCCCCAAACCTTCCTTAGATGGGGCCGTTGGGATTCCAAAGGAGGAAGCACCACATGCCAGGGTGGCCAATCCAAAGCATCAATAAGGGACTTAGAGTGCTGCAGCAACCCTTGCAATGGACAGCAAGAGAATAGGGGTGTTCTATTAAGAATGTTTGCAGTGAAGGACTTGGTGTGAAATTTATATGAGAATTGAAGGAATTTGGTTCAGGCCCAGAGCAGTTTCTTTCAGTGTTCTGGGCAACAACCTAGATACCTTTATCAATGTTTAGGAAAGTTCAAGGCCTGGATTGGGTTCAAACCTGCAGGGGAAAAACCTGCAGCTGGCTAGGTCACAGCCATCAAGGCACTCTGATTTTTCAGTCAGGACAGAGAAAGGGGATACTGGGGGACCTTGCAACCCACCCCATCTGGCTTCAGTCACACACACCCACCTCTTCTGGGATTTTCCCTTGAGCCTACAGGAAAGGATGTGGTCACCTGCAAGGCCCTTTCCCCAAGTTTACGGAACATTGCAAACAAAACCCAAATTAACAGGAAGACCTAAAGTAAAGCCACAGTTCCCCAAAACCTTGATAACCGCGCTTCCCACCAAGGGAAATCAGAACCAGCACAAGGAAAAGGAGCATAGGGAGAGGTCTGGGAGGGTCCCACACATGAAACTTAGTTTCCTCCCTGTGGAGTCGGGAAGCATTCCCTTGCCAGCACATGGCACATCCATGTATACTCTACCCAGAGTATTGCCAACCTGGGAAGCTCACCCAAACTTTAGTGTCCAGGGTTTTTACGGGGGCCTCCATTATGAAGTCCACGTGGCTGAATCTCCAACCCCCTCTTCTCCCCAGAGCTCGGGCTGGTACCACCCGGATCAAAGGTAAAAGCGTCAACCCCCAAATCACAGGGTCTGTCTTGGAGGCAGGGCCAGCTTCCATCCTGAGCCATCTTAGCATCATCAGGGCCCATCGCGAATGACAAAGGCATCCCTACCACTAGGAAATTCCAGGCTTTAGAGCGCCCAGGCACTGGGGGAAAAGGCCAGCCAAACACCTGACTAAATAGCCCTGTACTTGACTTATGCTACTCTTCAACTTTCTGCCCGCGGTTTTCCTTGTCAGAATATTTTTCTTTACGTAGGTAATGCTTTCGCGTGGCTATGAGGCACATCACGTCTTCTATTTCTTAAATCCAATTTCTTGTACAGGTTTTAATTTCGTTCAAGGAGTTGCTCCACTTAATTTTATTCCAGGCCTCATAAAATGCGGCTATACTGTAACCTTCTTTTGAAATCGAATCACTATGCACAATGGATTGTGACAACCCGGAAAGCGAATCCAGCTTAATTCAAACAACAGGCCCAGGCGGCCTGTGTGGTGCAAGACGAAGCACCTGCGGCCCGGGGCCGGCCCTCCATCTTTGCCTCCCACAAGCCAAGTCGTCGGCCAGTCTTTTGAGAACGTGCACGACGGCGGCGCGCCCGTCCCGTGACGTCACTCCTGGCCCGTTCGAAGGAAATGCGCGCTCCCTCGCAAAACCCCGCCCTC